TGTACTTTGACTTTTAATACTTAACTACAACAAATATCAGATACTTTGAGACTTTTACTCAAGTAATATTCCTAAAGGAGACTTTAAATTTTACTTAAATCATTTTTTGGTAAGATACTTGTACTTTTACTCAAGTATCTCTTTGTGGTACTTTACACAACACTGACCACATTAACATTTTTACTTGAGTAAAAGTAAGTAAGTACTTGCTTTTAAAAATACTTAAAGTATTAAAAGTAAAAATACTTGCTTTAAAAAACCACCTAGTGGGCAACTGAACTCTCTCACTGTGGTTGTGCAGAATCAGCAGCCCTGCACCTACTGACCCCATTTATAAAGGGATCCATCTGTAAAACAGTAGAAACCATCAGAGACAGGTCCACCATAGAGAAATTACTCCAGGCTGACCTATCTTCAATATCTGTCTTAAAACTTGGTTCAAATTTGTATTTTTGACCATTCTGTCTCCAGGGCCTGCAGTTACTGGAACAGCAGCAACTGCCCAGTCCCAGATTCTACTGGGCTGTGAGTCAGATAGGTTTTTACACCTACCAGACTGGTGTAACCGCTGGATACAAACTCCCCTAAGATGTAGGAAATGGATTCACATTCAGAAAAGCTAAACGAAAGCCATCATTAACACCTAAACAGGAAAAAACAAGGTTACACTGGGCTAAGGAGAGGCAATCATGGACTGTGGATGACTGGATGAAAGTTATCTTCAGTGACGAGTCAAGAATCTGCATTGGACAAGGTGATGATGCTGGAACTTTTGTTTGGTACCGTTCCAGTGAGAGGAGGACTGCCTGAAGAAAACAACCAAATTTCCACAGTCCTTGATGATATGGGGCTGCATGTCAGGCAAAGGTACTGGGGAGATGACTGTGGTTCATTCTTCTATCAATGCACAAGTTTACATTGACATGTTGGACAGTTTTCTCATCCCTTCAATTGAACAGATGTTTGGAGGTGATGAAATCATTTTCCAAGATGACAATGCATCGTGCCTTAGGGCAAAAACAGTGAAGGCATTCCTTGGAGAAAGACACATTCAGTCCACGTCATGGCCTGCAAATAGTCCAGATCTCAACCCAGTTGAAAATCTGTGGTGGAAATTGAAAAAAAAAGGTCCACAAGAAGCTCCGACCTGCAAAGCTGATCTGGCAACTGCTGTCAAAGAGAGTTGGACCAAATTGATGAAGAATACTGTTTGTCACTCATCAAGTCCATGCCTCAGAGACTGCAAGCCGTTATAAAAGCCAAAGGTGGTGCAACTAAATACTAGTGATGTATTTTGAATGTTTTATCTGTTTTTCATGATTCCATACTTTTTTCCTCAGAATTGAGTGATTCCATATTTTTTAAGCAGGGACTGTAGAGCCACTCTGCTACAAATTCTACACCACTTTTAATAACTTCAGCATAAAAATGCACAAATGTAGTTTATCCGCAGTGAACCCAAAGACATTTAAACTTATAGAAACTATTTTTCAGACCCAAAATCTCAAACATGGAGCTGAGATATGATCATGGGTGTGCTGGTTTCTCTACTCCCTTCAGCTGTCTCCACTGCTCCGTTTGAAGTGAAGTTGGAGCTCAGCTCACGACCGTTAATGAAGATGATGTAATTCCAAATCTATCCTAGATGTGAGCTACGACTGTGATGAGGAGTGTGTGGTCAACTGCATTTCAAGAAAGACAAACAGCAACAGACGATTACAAAGCTGCGCTGAACCAAAAGTAACAAGTAACATAAAGCTTCCTAGAAATGTAGTGGAGTAAAAAGTATAATATTTGTCTTTGAAATGTAGTGGAGTGAAAGTCATAAGTACCCCAAAAAAATAATTACTCAAGTAAAGATACTCAAAAGATTTACTTAAATACAGTACTCAAGTAAATGTACTCCACCACTGAGTACTGATGTAAAATTTAGTGGAGTAAAACTCAACAGTACCCATGATGAAATCTACTTAAGTTAAGTACAGATAAATGAAAAATGTACTTAAGTACAGCAACAAAGTACTTGTGCTGTGTTACACCCCTCCACTGTAAAAACCCATCTTCCAACCTGCCCTGAGATTAGAAATAATCTCTGCTGATGTCAATCCCGAAGTGAGAGCTTATTTCCAGCAGCAGGGCAGGTTGCAAGGTGGTTATTTCATGTTATTTATTGTTTTTTAACATCCTACAGGCTCTGACGTGTTACATTTATTTGAAACTGAGATTTTGAAAAATATACCTGCAAAATAATGGAAAATCCATGCAAATTACAGACAATCTGTACAATTTGCCATACGGCTCTGTTAGGACTGTAGGCTCGTTGTACAGGTAATCGTCCAAAGGGGGTGACATCAGTTCCTGACCGCCACACTAGGTATGTTGTTGTTGTTTAAACTGTTTTTTTTTTTTTTTTTGGACTCTCTGAAATTCGGCAATAACTCTAAAGCTTTAAAACAAAAAATGTGAAGAATTTAAATTATAAAAAAATATTTTTTCTTCTGTTCTTTTTTTGTTTTTTTGCATATTTTTGTTCATGTTACTCTCTATTTCCTCGTGTACATTATTGTTCATGTTTGTATATTGTTGTTTTTGTAAATAAAGTTTAATTAAAGAAAGTTGTTGTTGTTGTTGTTTAAAGTCACCAGCAGGTGGCGGTGTTTCCTCTTCCTGTTTGACAGACAGCAGCCAGAGAAGAAGAGTAAATAAGGAAGTGCAGACTGAACATGAAGCTATGCTCCGGCAGCTGTCAGGACAGAAACAATCACACAGTTAGATCACAGTCAAAGCTGACAATGCGATGGGAAACTGCTGGGCTTACTGCACTCAGCTCTTCAGCCGGGAAGTCAGCAGGATCCAGAAAGGAGGCGGGTAGGTGAAATAAGGCATTAGCCGTTAGCTACATCCGGTTACAGGATCCGCTTTAAGAAAACACGAGTTATTAGCTGATAACTGAGTGTGTCAGACTGCTGAGAGGACTGACCTGTTAACAAACCTCTGCTGGTGTGGGAGCAGATGTACCTGCTGCAGCCAGTGGGAATCAGCCCCACCCCATAGAGAGTTATAGTGATAGTGGTGTTTACAACCACAGGTCAGTTACCTGCAGATTCATTGTTTAACTTGAGTGTCATGTCTGCTGTGAAACCTGGATATCAGTTGTGTGTTTTTGTGTTCATGCATTTAAACGATGGGATGTGATTTCACCAGCTTTGTTCAAACAGCAGCCTCAGAAACAACCTGTTTCTCTTTATTACATATTGCTTATGTTCATTAACATAATATTATTACTGCTGAAAGAGGCTTCATGTGTTTGTGTTGCATTGTCAGCTTGATTTTTTTCTGATTAAATTATTATTTATGATTATGTTTTTATGAGGTAATATTAAAGCCACATCACTGGATTAAAAATCATTTTATGATATAGGCAGGGGTTATGACTTGATCAAATATTTATCATTATAATCACTAGGGGTGTAAGAAAGTATTGATACTCTGAAATATCGCGATATTTCATTTCCCGATACTGTCTCGATATTCTAAAGCCCTGTATCGATTTTTTATTAAGGTTTAAAATGTCAA